TCCCTGGTGTGTTTGCCTGTTCCCTGGGTCGCCTCATGGCTTAACGGGCTAAGTGGTTGGCCACTGTGTTATTTTACGGTCTCCTGCTTTAAAAGTGTATTTTCAGTTACAGTTCCTCATGTTTGTGCCCTGGTTTAATTCTGTTCTTGTATTTATGTTCATAGTGTTATGAGCCTCTGAGTTTAATGTTTTCTGTGCTTGTTAATTGTAATGCATTCCACTTGTTTCTTGTCCTGTGCCTTGCTGATTGGCTAATTAAGTTATGATCATGTTCCAGCATTATGCCCTGTTAGTGGTGTGTTAGTGCCAGTGAAATTAGGATATCCCATCATGCTCGCCGAGCCACGCACATAACCCTCTTTATTTTTGGTGACTCAAGTCCCAACAGAACAATCACAGCACCATTGACAGATAGATTGAAGCCAATTGTTGAACATGATCAGTTGTTCACTTTTAACACACTTTAAAAAAAACCTCAGATAAAAGACATGATTTTCACACATGTGCAGTAGCTCCTTGTCACATTTAAAGGCACTATGTTTTTGGCATTTAGATGTATATCACCTAGGCTTGGCCGGTATTAAGGTAATACAGTATTTTGGGTATAATTTCTGGGAATATATCTGCAGAATTTATCATGGAGGATCGGCCGGATGGCAAATTTTATCACCAAGATTTCAAAATACCAGAATAGTGTCGCTTTTGGAAAAATACAGTACAAGACAGAATATTGTCAGGGCAGTATAACATTATGAAAACCTAGGTACCACCCAAGCTCAAAACTGACCCCATTCATCAATTGTTCCCGGTCTCCAGTAAAACTTGTAAGAGAACTACAAATAAGCAGAGGCACTGAAAAGATTTTTAAGGGACAGCTGAAGATTCAAATTAGGTCTCATAGGCTACCACCTATACTAGGAGAATGAGGTTGGATATGGCCATACTCCAAGATCAGGCTGTTTCTAATGAGTTTGCATGTAGTTTATTTGAGGAACTTGCAGACTTGGGTGTGACTGCTTATTGCAATGTGATGTGGGAGACCTTCTGTGACAAAACCCTGAATGTTGCTGAGAGTTGTGTTGGTGTTGCTGGTGTTCCCAGAAGGAGGTGTTTCATCTTGCAGGGCACCCTGGATATTATCGAGAAGAGTCACAGCGCATGGCTTGATGGCAACTTCGGTCTGTATCAGGACCTAAGAAGGACAGTTGCGAGTGCTCTGAGGGCAGATAAAAAGGTGTTTGTTAGAGGAATCTTTAAGCAAGTGACACACCATCTATGGTCTAGCGATCCAAGTCCTGCTTACAGAGTAATCGAAGCATTACACACATCCAAATCTGTTCCTTGGAGAGTCACAGTCAGGGCAGATGATAGAACAGTCCTTACAGATGACAGTTCAGTTGTGACCCACTAGGCTGGCTAATTTGAGCAGCTGTTTGAAGCTAACCCTCCAGCTAGGATGTTGAACAATTCTTTATTATTCCTTGGGTACTGCTGATTTGACTTTGTATCAAATGAATGGTTGCTTAGGGAGTTTCAAATGAGGTACATTACCTGCATTGTGATGAAGTGCCAGCTAGGATGATCCAGCTCGTGGGATTCCCAATGCTGAGGATCTGAGCAACTGACACATTGACAACTACAAATGCCAATT